GAGAGAGAGAGAGAGAGAGAGAGAGAGAGAGAGAGAGAGAGAGAGAGAGAGGGAGTCGAAAACGAATTTCGAAATTTCGACGTTGAACAGAAATGTCATTCTCGCGACGATTGTATCGAGCTTGTCCAACGTAGCTGAAAAATCGGAGGAAATATTATTATATCGTTCATTTTGCCGCGTTCTATGCGAGTTGCCCGTTAAGCGGGTAAACGTTCGCAGTCTAATTATCGCAAATATGGACCATTGTTACGTTATTGTACGCGTTTATAGGTTCGGCGATAGTCGACAAGGTTCAACGTTTTGTTCCGCGGTAATATTCACGGCCGAGAAGGTTTATTCGTTTGCGAGCGGAGCGGAAGCCTGCCCGGAATGTAATTCGATACAGTTGCCGTGAAATTGTGGAGTATGTTGAACGAAAGGGGTAAATAACGAAGCGAAAGGGGTTGGAGCGGAAGGAATCCGGTCACCCGGGGACACCGAGAAACCCCTCCCAGCATTCCGTGTCTTATGTGACCTGAGCGAACGCTTTCTTTATCTCCTAGACAGGTCAATGATAAGGCCAGTCATAAGTTTCAGAGATTATAGAAGTTTCCCCCCCCTTATCTTGATTCAGAAGAATAATGCAGGATGTTCCATCTTGCTCTATTACTAGGAAGAAATTTCTGCTCCTGGTTTTTTGGCGGAATTTCGGTAGCGTAACCACTCTCACGAAGTTCGTGTAAAATATTGTTCCACTAAAGTTTTCTACTATGTCATATACAGTTATTTATATTCGATCTTTATCTTGGGACAAGATAGGGAATCATTATTACTGCAATAAAATTGTTCATTCTATCTCACAGTTGCAAATGTACGCACAAAACTACGCACACGAAGGGAAGTAAACTTTGTTAGTGTAAATTCCAAGCATAGTCGTAAACAGTGTAGAAGATAGGCCGAAGAAGGAAGGGAGAAAAGTGCATAAAGAAATTCACCGGTGATCACTGCAAATTTAAAGAAATATTCTTTTTGTCGAATTTTTAAGATTGCTGTCCGTTACAGTGTAACGATAAGCAATTGTCATGTCGGAATGAAACAAATTCGACATACGAGAGTTAAGAACAATGGAGGGGGCTGAAATAAAAAATCGTGAAATATGCAAGGGGTGAAAAAGGTATCCGGAAACTTATCCCGGAAATAGTCAGCCAATCGAGTTCCGTTACGAGCGACCATCCCGCCCGGCGAGACGTCTGCGACGATTCGAATTCCTAGGGAGTGGTCCTCCGACTTTGCCCTCTTCCCAGCCAAACAACCCTCGAATCAACCGACGGTATCAAGAGTTCCGCGTGCGCGAACGACACACGCCGCATCCAATGAATAAATTAGCACGGTCTCGGATTCAAAGGCCGGCTAGCAGGACCCAGTCCTCGTTCCTCTCTCCTTTCAGCCCTCTGCCGTTTCCTCGCCCCTATCGAGTCTCCTTCAGTGAGCGAGAAAATGCGTCTTTAACACTTCGTCTACCGGAGAATATTAAACACTCCCTTAGAAATTAACAATTGCCAGCTGAAGGTTTCTTAATTTTCAAACGGTTACAACTGTTAGAACTATAGAAATTTAGCGAGTCACCTCGGGAAACGTAATTTGGTAGTTCTTTTTGATATTGTTATTTAATCCTTTTCACAGGACTTTGGGAAATATTACAAATTCTTCATTTGCCTAGTTAAATTGCATAATTTGTAAGTACTAGAGAAGTAGAACTGTTAGATGTAATGATTAACTATAAACATTTTGAAATTAACCTTCAACTATAAATATTAGAATATTATAAAATTTCATCGAAAAGATTCAATATTCATCGGAAGGTTAACAGAAGATTTTTAATCGGCTTTTTCATTGCCACAGTCATTGCGGAGGTTATTTATAGTCTTCCGGTAGGGAAAGCGTTAATCGCGGTGCTAATTGAACGTCAGACAATCGAAAGGTTGCGAAAAGAGTCGCGGCAGCGTGTATGCAACTAAAAGCACGGCGGTGAACGGGAAAGGCGGTGGCGGGAGGAAGCAAGACAAGAAGAGAATCAGTTCGACAGGGATCGAGAAGCGATCCGTGTGTCGGCGAAGCTTCGCCTCGCATCTCTTGCAATATAGACAACGATCGGCGTGTTTTTTTAATATTATGCAACCCGTTTGGTTCCGCTTGACACCTTCAGTGCCATCCCGTCGACGTTAATTTAATATTAGCTAGTAGTGGTTAGCTCTTACTCCTGGCAGCGTCATCGTTCGAGGACGCTTCTCGCAAGGAGCCGCGCTTTTCGTAAGTGACTGCGACGCGAGCGCGCGTGTTCATTGGAAGTGATGCTCGTCTGCGAGTGATCTTTAATCCTTTCGATTTCTATCGTTGCTTCTGCACCGACGTGCTCGAAGTTTGCCGAGGAACCGAAGGAAGTATCCGGTGAGTTGGATCCTCGATTCCCTGATAGATCGAGGTGTTTGAATCCGATGTTTGTCAAATTGATCAGTTGATCGTTGAAAGATGATTGATTTCGGGTTATCTAAATTTCATAGTTCATTTCATACTAAAATACGAAGGAAATATGAATAATGAATTATTGAAAAAAATATTATGTCTCTGTACGCCTCTATTAAGCTTTAATTCCAAACGAAAGTTAAATAACGCAATTCTACAGTCTCGATTTTCTAAAATGTATCGAAAAACTAGATGTATGGTACCAATTTGAGTTTTAGACGCTTACGACTAGGGAAGGTAGCGTTTCAGGTCGCTAAATCACCGATAGTCCCTTTTTCCGGTGAATCGGCGGTCTCTGGAGTGCTTACTCGATTCATTAATTGCCGCGCGATCGAACAATGCCGTTCCAAACGCGTAACCAATAACCAAAGCCTCGGCTAATCCGTAGAAATCGTTGGAACCGGCGAGCGGTTGTATCAGTTTAAATCCGTTGTTCGATCGGGTGAGTTCAGCACAGAAGCGTCATTCTTCTTTCGCTGATGGTAACTTCACATTGGCCGCATTACCCTTTGACGGTCGACTAATTGGCCGCGCATTACACGGGCTCGCCGGATCGACGCTGCTTAATCAGCTTTCGGCCCGGCGCTGCTCGACTTTGCGAATGTCGATTAATCGACCTAGCTGCCGAACGACGCGACCAGCCGCTTCAAAAGCGGAGAAGGCTCGATCGGGGTCGGAAATCGTTACACTGGCCGGGTAAAAATTTAATGGCACCCAAAAATTTAATGTATTCGAGTCCACAATGGATCACGGTTGAAATTTTCGCGAGCGTCTGACGGACAGCCTTTTGACGCTGGTCAGGGTTTCATGCAAATATACATTTTTCATGAGTAGTTTAAACAAATTCCACTCAAACGACAGTTTTATTCGTTTGTTCACTTAGTGCTTCAATTTAGAATTGTCAGATTTCATTTGATTCTACTACAATATCAACGTAACTTAATTTCACGTGAAAAGGACAAGATCTACCTAAAATTAATATTTCACTATATACAATAAAACTCCGTATCGAATTCGATTTTAACCGAAATGATTACAATAGATCAATTTTCAATCTACCGATTACCATGCGACTAATTTCATCAGTCATTCCACGATAGCAGAACGATTTCCATAAGAGAGACCACGCATCCCTCTGCAAGATTCATAGAGAGTGTTCAACCGTGAATCACAGGAATCGCTATCGCGGTTGAATAACAAACCTCATATCACTCGGTGTCACGAAACTCGGGACAAAGGGAGTCCAGGATCCACGGGAACCGGCCGTGACTTCGGTATCCTCGGAAGTGGAGCCGTTTTCGAGCACGGCCTTCGAAATATCCTCTTAAAAACAACGAACCTGAAATTACGAAACACTGCCGAGGGCTCCTTCGAGTAATACGTTAGCCGATATTGCCCGAGATCACGAAAACGAAGGGTTAAAGGAACATATAGACCCGGCGCGGCTGGAACACGAGAACCACTTCCACGAAGCGTGCGCTGCGTGACCAAATATGCCTATATAAGTTAATCCAACGGATCGTCTCTGTTCGACTGTAATTCGACTAGTTTCGACTATAATTTCGTGGGATCGTGACGAGGATCGTGGGCAACACGCACGGGGGAGAACACTAAAAAGAAACACTGCGTCCGTTCTCAGTTTCTTCCCGTTTTCCGTTCGACTACCCCCCGCCGCCATGTTTTGTAACTTTTAACCCTCGCGCCACAAGGAACGCGGAAAACTTGGAAACTATCTCTAGACTGATGTTAATTGAACAGACTGAAATCTTCGTGAAAACGTTCGATAAAATCGTACTCCGTAAGGATAAGGCTGATGTAAATTAGGTCGTCCAGCGGAGATCTTTTTTAGCCGAGTTTACAATCGTTTACGAGCCGTTGGGATCATTTCTACGTGACTTTTTATACTTTTCTACATGACTACTTTTTGTACCCTCCACGTGGCCGATTTTATTCGTTCTTTGCACTTCTCGGGATATTTCGACGTCTGCGATATCAACCATGATTCATCTATAATATAATATAATATAGCTAATCTATAATGTAACTTATTTAATACTTACGGGAAACGAAACAATTCCAAGCATAACGTACGCAGTGCATATCAATACTTCACTGTCACTATATGCTAGCGTTTAATTAATTAAGCTTCGCGACTCAGTCCATAAAAAAAGGGGAAAATGTTTTTGAAATATACGAAAGGCCTGTAGCTACTGAACCATCATTTTAGAGGATACCAGGGGTGCAAAGGATTAAATCAACTGATCCTGTTGATTCATTGCAAATAATACATTGAAACGATCAGACGCCGAACGGACGGTGACGGTGTCGTTTCGTCCGCGTTCGGTGGCGCGAGGGTTAATCGAACGAGAGAAACGAGGAGGTGATGATTCGCATCACGTCGAAAGACTGTCCCTGATAACGGCCCCAAGCGACAACCCGTTTGCCCAACGCGCGCTCGCGCACACGAGAAAGTAAAGGAAATAACGACATTGGAAATGAAGAGGAAAAAGAGAGTAATAGGAAAAATTATCGATAATGTTGAAATTGTTTGTCATAGTATATGCGTTATCATATATAGTATCGCGATATATAGTATATGAATGGTCGGACTGCAAAATGACGTAAACCGGGAGACGATATGGGGTAAGTTGATGGAGAAGTCGGTCCGAGCTGACGACGGTGGCGCGATCGACAGCCGCGAAACGATGCTCGACGATTCGAGCAGCTTCCGAGTTGAGTCGCGTTAGCCGGCACAAGCGCCGATGCACCGTTTTTTTCTACTCTGCTCTAGTCGCAGTATTCTAATTAGCCGCGGACGCGGAGCACCGCGCGAATCTGGTAACCTCGACAAGCGGTTCTGCGTGAGAAAGAAAATCTACAAAGAAAAAGATGTGTAATTATTTTCCTGTAATTTTGTGAAGAATTATTTAGGATTCGTGGGGCATGAACTGGTTTGTTTGTAGACAGCAGTCTGTTGTCCTGATTACGTGATCGTTTATCATTCTTTTTATCGAGAGTCTGAGAAGATTTTTCTAATTGTCAATTTGAACCTAGTTTAATGATCGTTCTAACGAGATAATTATAATTATAATTATAATATAATTCTAACATAATTCTAATATTTATAATTGAATTCTAAGTGATTGTAAAGATTCTCTATTTCATAGGGATCGTTTTCTAACAGAAGTTTCCTAGTTTGGTCTAAAGGCTGAGGAACCTTGGCAGAAGGTTCGATTCAAGGGAAAAGTGTACAGCAAGGTACCTCGATCATTGTTTCCCCGTTTATCAATTCAAATAACGCACGTTTCGAAGTCGGGAACACGAAACCGAAATTGTTCAGCCGAAGTTTCCTGACGAAGGATCAGTGGCCGGGCAAGCGCTCTGAATCATTTCGCCATTCCAAGTTCCGTTGGAAACCCGCCCGAGGGGTGAACGATTCGCGCGGCGTCCCGGGTTGCTTTAGCCTAAAAAGAAAACTTTTCTTCTCATCGTGATTGTTCTTCGTCGACTTCGTCGTACTTCGTCATCCACGCGTCCATCACGATGGCATTTTGTGGCACGACGTCTGTTGTCAATCGAGACGCGCGCACGCGTACATCAAGGAAACAAAATGGGGGACAAAAGAATACGGGGAACCGCCTAGGATAGAGAGAGAGAACAAAAGATTCAAAGAAATAACAAACTGAAACGAAAGAGTAACTTGGAATAATCGAAACGAACGCGAACAATTAACCTCTTAACTGAGGACGATGAAATGACTCTTGAATCAAATTTTGTTTCATTTCTGCGCGTTCTATCAAATTTGTCAAATATAAAATTTCAATTCCGCATGATTCATTCGATCGAATCATAATGTTCACATTAGTATAAACCGTATAATATTGAACTAATTAAAATGTACCATTACACGATTGTTCGCTACGTTACTTTCATTCGTCGAACGTTGCAGGTTTATCGATGCTCACGTCGGCAGAACGCGCAGTTAGAATGTTAAGAGGAAACGTATTTATTAGGATACAGCGTATGCTAAGTTATTCATTCCTCAGTGATCGCAAGACAAAAAGAAAAGAAACCAAAGGAATAAAATCATAGGAAAGAGCACGAATTCGAGGAGAGATTTAAAGAGAACGAGAAGAAACGCACTCTGGACTGGTCTCCCGCGACGCGCGTCTGCAACGCGTGGTTTCTCTCTCTCTGATTTCGTGAATCCACGCGTTCTATGGACGTTCGAAGTTTTTTCAATGATTCTCGAGCATTAGGATATTCTAACATAAGGAATAGTGTTAAGTACAACTAACGAATCTCTCTGTCTCCCACCCTCTCTCTCTATCTATCTCTGTCTCTCTCTCTTTCACTCACTTACTCACTAACTGACT